CAGGACTGTTGTAGCTAATGTTAGCTCTGGTGTCTGTACCAGGACTATTGTAGCTAACGTTAGCTCTGGTGTCTGTACCAGGACTGTTGTAGCTAATGTTAGCTCTGGTGTTCCCATCAGGACTGTTGCATAGTAGAGCGACATTTTTAAGTTATACTATACTGTATATATATGTTAGGGCTGTAGCGGTACGTGTCCCGAACCATTTGTCATGTGATGTACAAATACACAGCTTACCTAGCTTAGCAAATGGTACACCTGAGTAACCATATATTTTGAAGTGTCAAGGAGAACCTTGTAAATGCAGAGCAGAACAAAGTCTAACGTCCACAATTGTGACGAGACTCAATCACTTCTCGATGGATTCACCAACGTACATAAATTAGCAGTTCAGATGGACGAGCCTCGTATTGTGAATGGACCAATCATGTCCCGTTGGCGGGCACGTTCAAGCGGGCGAGGCTTCCCTCAGCCCACGTCCAAAATACCAAAATTGACCGAAACTGTAGCAGAGCAGGTTCTTTCATTATGACTAGACTTAATGATCTTGTCTATATTATTTTCCTTCCCCACAGTAAATAACAGTACACAATAATACATAACAGTAAACAACAGCTGATCAGTTTGTTGTCGATGATACACTTACTGTTTTGTGTAAACTATGTGTATAAGCTGTGTTTTTTCAAGATAAGTTTCAAGTTAATACATAGGTCTGAAAAGTAACAACCCAATATACAGTGAATGTATGTAAGTGTGTTTAAATCTATGTATATATGTATACGTATATGCACATATATACAGACACATATATATACACAGTATATATAAACATATATACTGTACATATATACAGTATACACACACTGCACATTATGGGTGTATATGTACATGGAGACAGAGATCAAACTCCATTGTATGTTTTCAGCCCTCACTAACTTTGATGCGTTTCCTATCACGCCACCTGTTTGATATGTGAACATTATGACTGTGGGCTCCTGAAATGAACTGGATTTGTGACTGTCAGTTGAGGGGGGTGCCCTCAGTGGGGATTTTGAAAAGACCTTTTTTCCACTAAATGACTGTGATCCTGTGAAGTCTCCCCGTCCACCCTCTCAGATGTGGCCGACAAACTCTCAGCCTGCACTACGTCTACTTGTGGTAACTTAGTGACATGTCATCCACTGCTGTTTCTGAGAAGACAAGGTGGCTCCCCTACCGTTTACACCACACGACCCCACCCGACCCCACCTCATCGTCACCTCTGAGGCATTCTCCAACGACACGCTGAGATTTTTAATGACCCCACCTTTTACCACCTCACTCTGTGGACCTGTCGTTAGGTCCATCGGTCTGTTACAGAGCTGAAGAGAGAATAAATGAAACAGCTGGATGATGTCATAGTTGAAGGGAAAAGGATGGTTGAACATGAGGAGGTGGGGGAATAATCTGAGCACCAGCAGGGACCTCCCCTTAATTCACGTTTTGGAAATTTACAACATTTATTTAACAGACAGAAGAAGTGAGGGTCTGTGTCACTGCTGCGTCTACACAAGAAATGAAGGGGGGGGGGAGTTCTTTGTTGGGTTTCTCAGTGTCAGGCAGTAAATAATAGGAAAGGGAAGAAAAAGTGACATCATATTAAATTTGGTGAAACGCAGCCTGATAATCAAATTTCACCTGTTTTCGTTTCCTTTCTACTACAGAGGAAACCAGAAATGAAAGCCAGGGTGACAATATTTTACCGCGGATCAAGAGAAAAAAGAAAAAAGTCACAGGTGGAAAAGTTGGTTTTACTCGCTGGGTCTGTGTTTCCACGGGGGCTTGACTCCACTGTGTTTTCCTGTCATATGTGGGAGAACGTACGAGCAGCTGATATCATCTGAGAAAAAAATCCTACTCTGTGTGCCGTCACTCTGACTTTTCAGTGTCTGACATTTTGTACTGTCTGGGACCCACGTGTCATCAGCATATATAGATATATACTGTATAAAAACAACAACAAGAAGAAACCCTAACACACACAAACACACAACAATGAGCA